ACCAGGCGGACATGGTGTCTGTGCTCAGATAGATCCTTGGAAAAGATTAAAATGTCATCTAAATAGACAAAGACAAACGCATTCAAAAAATCCCTCAAAACATCGTTCACTAATGTTTGAAAAAAATGCGGGGGCGTTACACAGCCCAAACGGCATGACTAGGTACTCGTAGTGACCAATTGGGGTCTTAAAAGCAGTCTTCCACTCATCTCCTTGTCTAATGCGCAACAGGTGATAAGCATTCCGGAGATCGAGTTTGGTGAAAACTGTGGCACCCACAACCGGTTCAAAAGCTGAAGAGTTGAGCGGTAAGGGGTATTTATTTTTAACAGTGATTTGATTCAAACCTCTGTAGTCGATGCAAGGCCTTAACAAACCGTCCTTCTTGCCGACAAAAAAGAACCCGGCTCCCAGAGGTGATGAAGAGGGCCGGATGATACCTGCGGCTAGTGACTCAATATACTTCTCCATTGTCTCTCTCTCCGGACGCGAGATGTTAAATAGTTGACTGTCCGGTAATGGAGCTCCTGGAAGTAGATCATACGGACGATGTGGAGGTAGTGAAAGAGCATTTGACTTACTGAACACTGGTGCGAGGTCGTGATACTCAGGGGGAATAGATGACAGATCAGGTGGATCCGCTCCCTGTGGGTTAGCCGGCGGAGATCTAGGAGGAACTGCTGAATGGAGACAGTTGGAGTGACAAGCATGTGACCATGACTCAACATGCATTTCTGACCAGTAGATGTGTGGATTATGTTGTTGAAGCCAGGAAAAACCCAAAACAATCGGGGTCTCAGCCGCCGGGAACACAAAAAAGGAAATAGTCTCTCTGCGGTTACCAGAGATCATTAACTGGAGAGGTTTAGTTTTGTGGGTGATCTGAGTGAGTGCTCTGCCGTTTAAGGCAGACACGCATAAAGGGGTGGCGAGCGGAACGGTTTCAATCCTCATTTGCTGGGTGAATTTAGAATCCAAAAGGTTCTGTTCACAACCTGAGTCAATCATGGCAGAAACAGAAATAGACTGATCTTTGAAAAACAGGGTCGCAGGTAGTAAAAGGTGAGGAGTGTCTTGATTTTGAGGATGGTCCGCCAGTCTCTTCAAATCCTCTGGCGGACCTGGGCTTTTAGCCGTAACTCACAGTTGGAGATGAAATGACCCGAGTCCCCACAATATAAACAGAGTTTGGATCTTAACCGTCTCTGTCTCTCCTCTGGGGTTAGCCGCGTATGCCCCACCTGCATGGGCTCCGGATCGGGTACAGTTGGTGGCGGGGCAAGGAGGGGTGATGTGCGAGTAGCGGTAAAGAATCTTACAGCTGGATCTGTCCTGCTTCTTTCTCTCTTTCTGGCACGAATGCGATTGTCCAGCCGGATAGTTAAATTTATAAACTCATCCAATGTAGCTGGCTCATCAAGTGTAGCTAGTTCGTACTTAATTTGTTCATTTAAAGCGTGGAAATACGCACTCTTGAGTGCTTCCTGATTCCAGCCTGAAGCTACAGCTTTTATTCTAAAATCTATGGTGAACTCTGAAACAGTCCGCTGTCCCTGCTTGAGTGACCACAGCTCTCGGGAATCTGTAGCCTTGTCAGCGTCACGTGAAAAAAAAAATCTTAAATTCCTTTAGAAATTCTTCAAAGGTACAACCATAATCCAAGCAAGATGGTAACTGGGTTTCAGCCCAACACAGTGCCTGTCCAGATAATCGTGAAATGATAAAGGATATCTTAGCATTGTCATGTGGGAAACTTTGGGGCGAGTGATTGAACAGAATCGAGCACTGCAATAGGAAGCCGTTGCATTTGCAAGTCTCTCCAGCAAATCTTTCTGGGCTGAGAGGCTGTATTCCGGAAAACATGGGCTGGATGGCAGTGGCGGCTGGTGCTAAAAAAACTGAGGGGGGCGCACACAAACAAACAAATCTTAAAAAATAGCACTATTTGAACATGAATTTTGCCCTCCTTTCCTTCTGCTCTGCAAATTTCTCAATTACATTCTTGTTAAAGTCAGTCATCTCTGTGACTAGTCTTTTCTCCATTGACAACATGGCCAATGCATTCAGCCTGTCCTGAGTCATTGAGTTTCTCANTCTGTCATGACGGAAGGTAACTTCTTGACCCACATGCAAAAAACCAGAGAACCGATAATCAGTAAAAGATGTTTAATATAAGCACAACAACAGCACAGATAAACTGTTCCTGGGGGAGCGGCGACTGGAGCGGGCTGGAAGAGAGAATGAGCGATGAGTTTAAGGATTGTGGGATGTTTGAGTTCTGAACGAGCGGCAATGATCTTACTAGGTCAGGCGGCAGGTAAGCGGGGGTGGATACTGGGATTTCCCGGGGTGTTTTCGGGTGTGGGGTTCTGCTGCGGAACCAGCTAGTGTCTTGGGAAGATCCAGCGGACGGCGTTGGAGGGCGGACAGATACGGACCTCAGCTCACCGGGGCAGAACGAGGAAGGCAGCCAACGAGGGGTAAGTACGCCAGGTACAGCCAGGAGCTCAAAAGCCTCGAGTGGTCGAACCACGACGTCACGAGGGAGTTGTCTGAAAAACAAAGAAACACAACAGGAGTCACTGGGAGGTTCACAAGGAATCAACAAACGCTATGATGATGGCCTGCAGTACCATTACTGGTTAACACTCTGGCATCGATGTGTTGGCTGACTCCACTCTTAAGCCTCTGCGGAGATGAGACAATCTCCGACAGGTGTGAGGATCCCAGCGTCGCCGGTCACGCCCACCAGAGATCATCCACCAGGCGGCCCCTGGTGGAAGGAGCGAGAAGCAGCAGCAAAACAACCCAAGCACCCAGGATCACCACACAGAGCATGCCTCTTTCATCCATTAATTTTAATAATACAAAAATTATATATTTAAAGTTAAAATGTTATTGTACGACTGAAGCTGGCAAGGGGGAAAATGTGAGATGAAACTAAACCAGAGCGATGCTGGTAATAGACCCTTTTCACAGTGACGTCAGACAATGGCCACCATAACTCAAAACTGGGTGTCTTTACT